AGTACCTTTTCATTTTATATGTGTATATATATATTTATAATTTTCATTCTATTTTCCAGAAAGTGCTTCCACAGGATGAGGAGGGCCCAATCATTATTGTGCTGAGTAGTGTCTCAGTGGCAAATGTCTTTCGTGCCCTTCACTTCCTTTATTGTGGATCGGTAGAAGTGGATCCATCTGATGTTGAGGGTCTGATACATGCAGGTCGAGAACTTGGCATCGACATACTCGATGATGGAGGTAAGAGTCTAGATGCTTTCTATGCAGAGTGTCACAAAATACCTGCCTCCTCCTCTGAAGCGGAAACCATGGCAGTTTTTTGGATGACATTGCACATACATGTAATCAAACTTATTGCTAGGATTTTGGTTGCAGGAGATCTATGCTAGCTGATGTTTTGAGTGATGAGCCTTTTTGAATAAGATGTTGTATAGCCAGGGTTCATTGCTCATATTGAGAGGGCAAATTTATTGGTGCAAAATTGGATCAAATGAAGAGGAAATAGCTTGTTTGCTCAAAATTGGACCAAAAGCTTTGAGGATGTGTACAAGTTACCTGGGAAAGTTTCATTGGTATCTTGGGAAAGTCATGACATTATTAGTAAGTCCTGAGTTTTATGCCTTATGATGGTGCTGTACTTCAAATTCAAATTCAGAGTCAAATTCAAAACACCAGCCAGCTTAGATCAAATGCAACCAATAAAAATGCATTAAGTATGATTACGTGTGTGCACAATTGCTAAAAACCAGTCAGTGGTTCTGTTCTAGATGGGGTGGGGTGGTGTCACGGTTGACATGTTGCACCTTTTTTTAAATGCTTTCAGTTCCTCAAGTTGACTTACATGAAATTGAAATGGTTGATCAGGACAGCTGAATAAAGGTGGAAATCGGAAAGCAGAAACCAGAACGTCTGCCACCATTGAGGAGGAGCCACCTGATCCCCCGTTTAGCCTGTGTCCTTCCACGGGAGAGTTCATTTCTAGCCATTCTACTGAAAGGGTGAGATTTCTTTCGTATTGTGCGGTAAAATTAAAGCATTCATAACTAGAGTGAAGTGCCAAGTGGAATTCTGCACAACTCCATGATTATAAGAATAATGGAAAGTAGGACAAGAACAGAAAAGCTCCCAAAGGTTGAGAGGGGTAAACAAAAGATAGAAGACAGGAGGCATAAACAAATGTGAAACAGGTAGAAACTCTTCTTTAGAAACAAAGGACGAAAGCTAAGGCATCCCAACTGGAAGTCTCAATTGAAATGGGTGTTCATTAAGAGAGTTATAGAAAGGAATCCCTAAGCAGGATGAAATGTAAAGACGAAAGGCTTGACTTT